TGAAAAATGGCAATTTCATTACCTTATAAAATTGTCTCTCTACTGATATTGTAGTTGTCAGTACTGCACGCAAATTAAATTGATCTATTTTTATTAATTTACCATTTTTGTTCTGAAAATAATTGTAAATGAATGATAAGTATTTCTCATATCAATGTTAATTCATTTTTAAATATGTTTAAATATGTTATTGTATCTTTCCGTGTGTGTGTACAATTTTTACATAGGTCATGAGAATGATACCATCCCAAAAAAGTAATATTTAATTATATATTACAGTATTACTTACTATTCTATGTGACACACGTTATGTGACATATCTTCTTTTTTATTAATACATACAACTTCACATGAAAGACATCTGTCAAAGACAATATAAAAAAAATGAGCGCTACAAGAGCTGTCATACAGAGGCGTTCACTAACGCCTCTTGCGAAGAAAAAGAAAGTCACGGTTGACGACCAGAACATTGGTAAATTTGATAAATTTTTTAAAATTTATCAATTTGAACTCTACGTCGCGATATCTCAGTTTGTAGAACACGAAAAAAAAGAATAAAAACACTTTTCTCATATAATTTGATACTTAGCTGTCGATTAAGCGTAGTTAGTACTTAATCGATGCAATCATTGCTGAGATATGAAAATGTAGACCGAGTTCATCCCGAGGTCTCGGTAGAGCCACGGGCGTCACGCCGCTGTTCTACGCGAACTTCGTTGCGCGCGAACTTGGCGTCGAAATATGACCCGTGTTTCTTGATTTCATAGATTTTGAACAATATATTTCACATTTTTTCAACATTTAGACGACAGCCATATTAGATCCGGCATCTTAAAATGATGTCATCTTAATTTGAATTTTTGACTTCAGAATCGAAAAAAGCATCAAAAATCTTTTGTATACCATCTTTGTATATCAAGTTTCATAAAAATAGGACCAATAATTTATGAAATAAGAGCGGAGAGCATGTATATATGCTTCCCGCATCAAAAGATTAATAAAACATAAATTATAAAATTCCTGTATTTTTATTCGTTTTTTAAATCGATATCCCAAGAATCAACCTCAATAAGTGTCACTATTTTTTAGTATTTAAGGATTAATCATTATTGATTTAATATTAAATGATAAATCCAAAATTTTTTTACATGTAATCATATATAAAGAATTATATGTTTATGCAGAACAACATAAATAAGTGGATATAATTGTATATATAATTATATCTATAATTATATATATTATATATTAGGTGTACAAAAAAGTTCTGAGCTTTAGATTTCATACAACCGAAATAACAATTTAAATTTTATATATCTTCCCGCCTTTTTGCAGTTTTAAAGCGTTGATACTTGGCCTTCTAAAATGCCATACGTTTGGCGTTTGCACATAATCTCAAAAATCAATAGTGTTCATGGCAATAACAAAAGAGCATATTCGATTTTCCATTCACTTCGCGTTTTATCTGAAGAAAAATGCTGCTGAAGCCACTGCAATGAGTTGTGCTGCATATGGAGAGAACGCTATAAGTCATACTACATGTAAAAGATGATATCAAAAATTTCGCCAAGGAGATTTCAGTCTTGAAGATGAACCGCGTGCTGGACGCCCTCAAAAGATTGAAACGGACGAACTGCAAGCACTGCTGGATATAAACTCTGCGCAAAAGGAGCTTGCAGAACAGCTTGGCGTTACGCAGCAAACCATTTCCGTACGTTTACATACGATGGGAAAGGTTCAGAAGGAAGGCAGATGGGTTCCGCATGAATTGTCCGAAGACAACAAAAATCGTCGGCGTAACACTGCACTCACTTTGCTTTCAAAATTCCGGAAAAAAGATTTTCTGCACAAAATCATTACAGGCGATGAAAAGTGGATTCTTTATGATAACCCTAAACGTAGAAAATCATGGGTTGATCCTGATCAACCTTCGACATCGATGCCAAAGCCCAATATCCACGCCAAGAAGATTTTGCTCTGTATCTGGATTGGAAAGGTATGTTGTATTACGAGTTGTTACAATCGGGTGAAACAATCACGGCAGACCGCTACCAACAACAATTGACCAATTTGAGCGATGCATTAGAAGAAAAGAGGCCATTTACTGGCCAAGGACGTCGTAAAGTGTTTCATGACAATGCTCGATCACATGTTGCGAAAGCGACTCAGGACCATATCTTGCGTTAGGCGGGGAACTTCTCCCGCACGCGGCGTATAGACATGGCGCCTTTCGATTACTACCTATTCCGGTCGCTGCAGCATCATTTGGCTGATACACATTTCGTGAGATTTGAAGAGATACGAAAATGCATTGATGATTTTATCGCTTCGAAGCCGGTGAGCTTCTATCGTCAAGGAATTCGCAAGCTACCCGAAAGATGGCGAAAGGTCGTTGATGCAAACGGAGAATATTTCGCCGATTAATATTTTTTTGTTTGTTTTTGAATAAAGATAGAAATAGAAAAAGGTATAGAATGATTTAAATATTATTGATTTAAATATTATTGTATGTTAAATATTTATTGTATAGTGCCACATGCGTTCACCTATGTGTCTTGTTATTTTCAAATAATTAGCAATATCAAATTTAAGAACGAAGAAGCCGTCAAATACATTGTTTGATAATAATCTCAAGCTCTTGATAATGCGGAACCAAACGTGATAAATATTACGTGACAATTGACAAACATTAAACGTAGACATCACAGATGCATTTGATAGATAAATTAAAAAATTAAGTACATATCGAATGCCTCGAATCCCACGATATTTACACTCTCCGTTTATATATATTAAGCTTCCTTTGACGGCGCACGAATTATTCTTTTTCGATCAAGTCTTGATGCCAAATGTTTTCTTCTTTTTAACTATTAGAGTCAGTGAGAGTCAGAAACCTCTCAATTACACTACCAGTCAAAAGTTTAAGTTCAGATTGATGGAAAATGGTTCGAAGATGATAAAGAATTAACAACTGGATTAGCACTGCTTGGCAGTGCTCAAATCCACAACTTTTTAGAATGTACTTTATTCAAATCTAGCGTCAATCTATATATCTAATCTCCCTTCCGTCAGTGTCTCCTCTCATATTATTTTTTGTAATTCAGCATTATTTCGGAATCAGTCGCTTTCTTTCTTCCTTGTCTTTTCTTTTTTTTTAAGTCATCGTTAAACTGATGATTCTAGGGAAAAGTTGTTCTAGATAATACTGAGGAAGGGATCATCTTCGAACGAGATAAGTATAATATCGGTCGAACATTCGCTCGTCCTTGGCAGGCTCGTTTGATCGTTCCATTATATTCATCGTCTCGTTCTCGATGATAAAGAATTAACAAGTGTAGATTTTTAATGCATAACTCAAAAAAATATTTTATACTAGTAAAACTAAATGAGCAAAAAGATCATTGGCCGACTGAATGGGTCTATTATAGAATCTCATGTTTGAGATTATATAGATCATCCCGCAGTTCGTTTAACAGTTGCAATGTCAACACCTCTCTTAAATAGCTGTAGCTGAAATCGCCGCACGTCTAGTACTATACGCAGAAAATTGTTTTGTATCTATAACCGTTTTCGTTAGCTTTAACATAGATTTAATCCAATGACCTATAGTTTGTGAACTCACAGAGCCATAAGGATTTATTCGCAATTAACAATCGTTTTTATCTTTATCGCTTAAGTTTTTTGTAATCTAAATATTCCAGGACACAGGACACAGGACCAACGCATACACCCGGTCTTGTTTTGAAAAAGAGCAAATATAATTCAGGTTGAAAAGTTCCTGATTTTAATATTTTAATTAGATCTGGTACCTTTATTGTCCCAGCTGAGAATTTTTTGACATTTCAATGATGATTAACGCTAAGGTCTATCATTAAGACTAACAGGATTTTTCCGCCGTATATTTGATTTTCAATTGAGACTCTGGAGGAAGATCTTCAATACAGTTTAATACTAGTGTTACATCCCATGTACTGGAATGTTTTGGTTTAGTCGTTTTGGTTTTCGTTTAAAAATCCCTTTCAAAAATCACATTATAAGATTATTTTGAGAAATATCGTTAAGGGCTATAGAGTGTCTAACTCTTAACGGAAAACTTTTTTTAAATATATAATAAAGTTATATAAAGTTATATAAAGGTAATTTTGTTTTATGATATCTTTATTCTATTAATATTGTACATAAAAAAAATTTTTTTAACTTGTATACTATAATTAATAAGCCCTGGATGTTCATGCGATTTCTCGCGCGCGGAGCACCGCTGTGTGAGTGAGTCGAATGCTAAAGTGAGATAGTAACATTTCTTAAAGAAATTCGACGTTTAACTCGACGTAATCCGAATTAATGATTTCGGCTAGCGCGCGGTCTATTAAACAAACGTAAACAAAATACAGCAAATAATACGTTTGAATTTTATTAGACGTACAAATATTTTAAAATCATATTACTTTTTAAATCTTAAAATATAACATAGATTAAATGAAACAAATATATTGAAACAATATATTGAAACAATATATTGAAACTAAATAATATAATATCTACAAAATATCAAAAAAATAAAGAGTAGTATTGCTATCGAGTAATATTGCTATCTCACTTTAGCGAGTACTCGACTCACTCGCACGCAGCGGTATTCCGCGCATGGCACGAGAGATCGTACGAACATCCGGGCCCTAATAATTAAGGCTGCTGTACAAAGGATAATCTTAAAACATTATTTTTGCCTTGTTGACAATTCGACTATATGCGCTCTCTGAAACAAAAAAGAAAAAGATTATAAAAAATAATAAGTATAGCTATAATCGGACGTACGGAAATTACAAAATTACAAAAAGTGGACATGTGAATCTTTTTTTAATTTGGCCTTCTTTTTGTTACAAGAAAGATGAATAAAATTGTCAAATTTTTATTAATTAAAAAATAGTTATGTCCGACGATAGAGGTAGGTTTTCTGCATAAAATGTAATTGAGAGCGTCTCGTTTGACCACATTAATATTGATCAAAGTTCCAATTGACCACGTTGCGATTGACCACATTGATATTGACGACGTTGCAATTGATCACTGTCCCGATTGACCACCGTCTCTTTTGGCCACAATCCTGTTTGACCACCGTCCCGATTGACTACGGACCCGATTGACCACCGTCCCGATTGACCGCCGTTCCAATTGATCACCGTTCTGATTGACCACAGTCCTGTTTGGCCACAATTATGTTTGACCACCGTCCAGATTGGCTATTTTGAAATTGATCATATTCAATGTACTGTTGTTATCATTGCTAATAATATTTTTTACTTTATATGAAGTATGGTGCAGTCTATTCTAGTATGCGGGATATTCATTTTTTCCTAACTTTGCCGAATCTTACATGTCTGTTATCGAGAAAAAAACGCGTTTCTTCCCGATAGCACACTTATCAGGTAATGTGTGCTGTCGAGAAAAAAACGCGTTTCTTTTCGATAGCGCACATCCTGATAACCAACGACTATGTGTGTTATCGGGAAAAAAACACATTTCCACATAGGTTTCACATCACTACCCCGATGCTTAGGAGCGAAACGAGGTCCACGATTATATTATTCCACATAGATTTTTGAATAACTATTTTTAAGTAAAACATTTATACTATTATCCATTACACGAAATGATGAATATAGATATAGTAACAATTATATAGTACATCTAATATATTTCATAACCTCTGGAAAACTAATTTTTCTTTACATATTACCAAGATTTGAGGTTAATTACTGTAATATGTAAAATTTGGCAGAATTAAGAGAAAACAAATATACATATTACTTGATAGAAAGTAAAAAATATTATTAATCGCAGTGATAACAACAGTACATTGAATATGATCAATTTCGAAATAGCCAATCGGGACAATGATCAATCGGGACGGTGGTCAATCGGAACGATGGTCAAACGGGACTGTGGTCAATCAGGACGGAGATCAATTGGAACGGTGGTCAATCGGAACGGTGGTCAATCGAGACGATGATCAATCGGGACGGTGGGCAATCGGAACGGTGGTCAATCGGGACTATGGTCAATATTAACGTGGTCAAACGGATGCTACTCAATACAATTTGCCCCAAGTCAATAGGTGGAGTAGATTTCTTGATTAGCTGTCAATCAGGTTGAAAAAAATGATTTTGAGAAAAATGTTTGAAATTTTATTTTCAGATTACTATATGTTAACTGCGCATTAAATTCAAAATTTAAGTTGCTTACTTTTATTAGACAATTCCTGGAACATATAATATCTCTTCTGCATTATTATTATTATTATTTATTTATAATCCGTGACTTTGGATGACTTCCAGCTTTACAACATTTTACTATACATATGTTTAATGTCCTAATCTAATACAATCTCCACTCCCTTTCTTATTACTTATCTATTGCACTGTTTATCTTCATTATTCATCTCTCTCCCTATCTCTCTCTCTCTTCGTTTCCCGTTCCTCTTCTTTCCTGCGTCCCTCTCTCCATCCTCCCTGTCTCCTTCTCTCTCTTCACTGCTCCCTTCTCTGTTACTATGCTCCCTTCCTTCATCTTTTCTTTCTCTTCCCTTTCTGCTTCTTATTCTGTCTATTCTTTTTAATATATTTTTTCCTTTTCCATCTTGTTCCAATATTTCTTCTATTGGCGTTTCCACCTTGGTATCTTCACATTCTTTCAAGACGTGCCATATACTCTCCGTTTCTTTTTTGCATACTCTGTATTTCCTTTCTTTTTCTGTTCTCCAGTATTGGCTTCTTCTCGCTGTGTTTCCGCATCTATATCCAGCTATTAAGTTCCTGTCCTTCTTCTTCATTTTTCCTCGCAGATACACTGATTTTTCTCCTTCTTGATTTTCCTCTTCTCGATTTTTCTCCTTCTTTCCTCTCTCTCTCTTCTTTCTATTCGCTCCATTATTAGTTGCGTTATCCTTTTAGGCTCCTCGCTCTCTCTTCTCTCCCTCAGTTCCTTTCTGCTTACTTCCGACTTCTCCATCATTATCCTTCTCTTCTTTTCCCACTTGCTTTCTTCGCTTTCTCTTTTTCCTTTTTCTATCTCCCTTATGCATTCTGTTACTAACTTTTTGTTCGTTTTCCTGTTAGTCTCTTCGTACTTGCTTGCTCTTCTTATAACCTCTATTCTTATTTCCCTAATCTTCGTCTCCTCCAGCAATATGCGGTGTCCTTCTATCTAGTCCCAAGATCTATTTTGTATATTTCTTTTTGATCCTGTCTAGCCTTTCCTCATTTTTCCATCCCCATACTTCTGCTCCGTATAACGCAATACTTTCCACTAGCGCATTGAACATCTTCATTCTTCTCTCGAAATCATTCTTAAACAGTTTCTCTCCAATACTCCATGTTTGCTTCATCGCGATCATCGCTCTTTTCATTCTTTCCTCTAGGTACCTTTCTGCTCTACCGTTTTTTTGTATGATGTATCCCAGGTATTTCATCTCTTTCACCTCTTCGATATCCTCCTCTCCCCATCTCCACTCTCTCTTTCCTCTTCGTCCTCTTCCTCTTTCGAAAACTAGTACTTTAGATTTTCCTGGACTTAGTAGTAAATCTTTCTTTTGGATGTATTTTCTAAATCTCTTCATCATGCCTTTTAATTCCTGTTCGCTTGTTGCCAGTAGCACGATGTCGTCTGCATAAGTTATTGATCAGAATTTTTCCTTTCCCACTACTATTCCTCCTGTTTGTTTCTTTTTCAATTCCACCTCCAGGTCCGCCAAGTATATATTAAACCGCTCAATGGGCATCCCTGTCTTAATCCTCTCTTTGTCCAGAATATCTTTGATTTTTTTTGTTTCCTACCCTCACTATATTCTTCGTCTCTCTGTACGTTTCCATTATTCTTTTTCTTAATCTCTCTCCAACACCTTGTTTTTCAATCATTTCTCCTAGCTTTTTTCTATCCACCTTATCAAAAGCCGCCTTTAGATCCGCAAAGAATGCATTTCCTTTCTTCCTCGCTAACTCCCTATTCGCCACATAGTTTAGTGTATACACCGCATCAATGGTTCCTCTTCCTTCTCTGAACCCAAATTGTCCTTCTTTAAGATTTTTCTCTATTTCCTTTTTCAGTCTTTCATTTAGCACCTTTGCATATATTTTGTATGCCGTGTCCATCAGCGTCATTCCTCTATAATTAGTTACCTCATTCTTCTCTCTTCTCTTATATATTGGGCTTATTAGGCCGTTGTTCCATTCTTGCGGTATGCCTTCTCCTTTCCATATCTTGTTTAGCAACATTACAAAGGTTTCTCCTATTTCTTTTGACATCAGCCTCCATGCTTCGTTTTCAATTTCATTCTCTCCCGGGGCTTTTCTCTTCTTCAGTTCTATTAGTTGTTTTATTATTTCTTCCCTTGTTAATTCATTCTCTTCCTTCTCTCTCTCCTGTTTCGCCTTTTTCGTCTTCTTCTCTTCCTCTTCTTCTTTCATTATTATTTTATCTTTTGATCCATCCAACAATTCCATGAAGTGCGTGGTCCACCTTTCTATCTCTATACTTTCGCTTATCCCTTCTTTCTTCTTTCTGTATTTGTTTATGTATCTCCATGCCTCTTCTTCTGTCCTTATTGCTTTTATCCTTTCCTCTTCTTCTCTTTCATGTTTGTGCTTTTCTTTCTTGCACCAATCTCTGTATTCTTTCCTCTTTTGTACGAATTCTTCTCTGCTTATTTTCCCTCTTTTTAGCCTTCCAAGTTCTTTCCTCAGTTCCCTTTTTTTCTTATTCCATTCTTTGCTATGCCACGTCCTCCTTCCTATCTTCCATAGTGCGATCTTCTTCTTGACTTTTGTGATTGATTTCTTTACTTTTTCTTCTAGTTCCTTCCAGATTCTTCCACTTTCCGTCTGCTCACATTTCCATCCTATACACTTCTCATGGTATTGCTGTATCCCTTCTTCTGTCCATACACTTGTTACCTTTTCAATAGTGTTGCTTCTTCTCTCCTTCTTTCTGTCGGCGCCTTCCAGCTCCACCTCCAGCGGAACGTGGTCTGATTCTATTCTGTCACCTTCTTTCATGTTCTTTATCTCCTCCAATGCTTTTACGCTCGTTATGACGTAATCTATTACTGACGCTCCGCTTTCTTCTATGTAGGTCCAACCTCCTACCTCCTCGCTGCTTCCATTTAATATCGTCCATCCTCTCTCTCTCTCAGTCCGTTTAGCATTATAATTCCCTCTCTATTTATCACCTTATCCTTTGATTTTCTTATTTCTTCCCCCTTCCCCTCTCCCGTTTCTATCGGTCCTCCCCTGTTTCCTGTCCTTGCGTTGAAATTACCTCCTATTATTAAGTGGCTTTCCTTTTCTTCTTGGATTCCTTCCAGTAGGACTTCCATGGTTTCCTCGATGCAATGACTGTATACTGTGACTATCCTCCATCTGCTGCCGCCATGCACGATTTCCATTTCCGCCATTCCTTTGCTTATTTTCCTCGTGTTGATTAACTTTATATCCTTTCTTGTTGTCATCATGATTCCTCCCTTAGCTCTTCCTTTTTTTATTTTCCCTTGTTGCTGGAACGCTGTACCACTGGAATTCATTAGGTAATTTCTTTGTGATTTTCTTCCATGCTTGTTCTTCTATCCATGTCTCTATTAGTCCTATCACGTCGAATTTTTCGAGATACTCCCATGTGTCCTCTCCTTTGTTCATTATTCCAACTATGTTCCAGAAACAAATTTTTAGTCTCCGAGCCCTGTTCTCCTCTTCTTCTCCTTTCTGTTTCTTCTGTCCTCAATCTCTTCTTCCTTCTCTTTCTTCTTCTAATTTTTCTTCCCTCTCATTCCATCTATATTCCTTACCTCTCATTGTTATTTTCTTGTATCCTACTCTTGCTCTTTCGCCTTTCTCTCTTTCCTCTCTCGCTATCTCCCTGAGTTTCCATTGCATCTTTCTTTCTTTCTTTGTTAAATCGTTCTCTATGATTACACCTCTCTCCAGTTCCTTCTTTTTCTTCATGACCTCTTTCTCATGACCTCTTTCTTCTGTTCCCAGCTGTCTATCTCCGCTATCACCATATTTCTATTTTCGCTCCCTTTTATCTTGTACGCCTTTCTTATTTTTATCTCTGCCTTTATGCTATCTTTTAGAAAGTCCTCCTTCTCCAACTTCTCCTCTTTCCAGTTGACTCCCTTGATCATGATATTGTTCTTTCTGTCCTCTCTCTCTCTCTTCTCTCGTTGCTCGCCTCTAACTCTGCTATTCTCTTCTCTAGCAGCTCTCTTTCCGTGTTCCTATTTCTTCTTTTTCTTTTCTTCTTTTCTCTTCTCTTATTTTTCTTTCTTCTATAATTTGTTCTCTTATCTGCTTTTTAAATCTTTCCTTCATCCCTTCTTTGATCTCCTTCATCTCCATCTTTACCTCCTCCATCATTGCGATCATTCTCTCTTCGAAACCTTTTCTTCGCGCCTCTTCATTTCCCGTAGGCATAGTAAACTTGTCAATTGCCCCTTCTTCCTTATTCTTACTCCTGGTTCCTGCTACTGGTGCCATCTGTCGCCTCTTCTCTCACCGCTTTCGTTTCTTATTGGAATTCCCTAGTGTTGAAGTCTTTCTCGCTCGCGCTGCTGAGTTGGCTGCTTTCGCGCTTGCGCGCTTCAGTCCAGCGCTCGCCGCGCGAGGCTTGTTTATTCAGTGTTGAGCAACTCTAACCTCCTTTGTTCACTTTCTGTTTCTCCTTTTGTTTTCCTTTGCTCTTGTCTTTTTACTTCTCCCTTATTCTCTCCGTTTTTCCTCTCGTCTCTCCTCACTCACTGATCACTCCTCTCTCTGTTTGCTCTCTGCTCTCTATGTCCTTAATTATATTCTTCCACGGGCAAGGCTTCACGTCTTCACACTTCGCCTAGTCCGCCGGAAGTCCTCTCTTCTGCATTAAAAATGCTTCTTTGTCGACGTCAGAAGCAGCGCATAAATGACCTTCATGTCTTAACGTAGGCCTGTCGCTCAACGATATGCACGCGTTCTTCGTCTGTACGATGTAATAATCATATAGCATTTGACCAATTTGAATTTGTAGAAGCTTTTACACATCCAGGAGTGTGACATGATTATCATTGAATAATATTGTAGTGACATTAAATGTTCATATGTTCACTTATCATGGTAAAAAACAGTAATAAAATTGATAATCCTGTAATTGATACTTGGATTAACAGTCACATTAGTTTCACCAAAACTACTTAATTTTTTCGACGAAGTGCTGACATTCAAGTCTGGCTTCTCTGTTTTGTAGCGATTTGCAGGACTAAATCTTTTTCTGTTCCTATCAGTTCTCTTTGTCGGTTTCCCAATTTCGTGCCTTTTTCCTTTCTTATCCATGACACTAATACTGATAATACTTTATAAAAATAGAACTTTACAAAATGTCTAATATAACACAAATCATGACCGACTACGTATAACATTTTATTCAAGCGCATCTGAGATCAAGTTGTGCACAGCTGGCGAGATGTAATTAAGTATACTTTCCTCCCTTTCTACACTCTGACAAAAAACTGTGCTTATTCTAAACTATATTCTAGTAAAGTAAAATGACCTGGCAACCGACAAAGGGCTTCTCGTGCAATTTGGAGAAAATCGGGTTGGCGCGTCGCATTATACCCTCCACCGCGCTCCATCGTATAAATATTGCTCCACGAAAATTGCTATATCTCCTCCAATTTTCGGAATATCTCTTTAGAACTTTGTATATGCATTCTCGATACGTATATTTTTCAAAATATTATAAAATTTAAAAATCGATTTTTTTCAAAATTTTGCCCTATCTATAGCCCTTAAGAAGGAGAGCGCCAAATTTGTATTTAATACGCTGTAGCTCGCTCCATCTTCAAACCTTTTTGATAAAAAACTTAGAATATCTGGAATTAGAGCATTATAAACATCCAATCCTCTATCATGTATGAACTCCCACCAGTTCTTCAGCGCAATTTGGTATTGTTTCAACGTTGAATCAGCAATTGAGCTGATCATGTACAGCATTTTCTTTCACACCTTCTCTTAACATCGCCAAATAATAACTTCCCTGCTATCAGGGAAACATAGGACGCCAAAGGTTGTATCTTATCTTGCAAAGGAATATTAGAAGACGTTTATTTGGTTTAAAAATCAGTGTTTCTGAAATAAAAAGAATTTTGAATAGGGGAACCAAGGTTGTGTTGACCAAAAAGGCACCAGAATTATCCCCTTCCTTTTATCTCGATATTCTCGAATAATTTTTCTTAAAGTGCAAAATCAAGTAAAATCAGCGCAAACGAGGGAAAAGCATAGACATTTTTGTTCTTCCAGGAGATTGTAAAAGCGTCTATTGCTATTGCATCTGGGAATCTAAAATAAAAAATTTTACATTTTTTTACATTTTTATTCTTGACGCAAAAAGATCCACTGAAGGCATTTCAAATTTTTCAATAATTTGATTGAAATATTTATTAGATAATTCCCATTCTATATAAAAATTTGTAATTCTAGAAGCTGCGTCTTTTAATATTCTCCCTGGAAGCAATGTATTATAAGTAGCACGAATCTACAATTTTCTGTTTTTGCAAAATTTCTCGCGAAAGCTCAGACAAATGCGGGAACACCACCTGCTTTGTTAATGTAGCAAATATCTGTAGTATTGTCCAGTCGTAGCAAAATTTCTGTATTCGTAAGATCTGAAGCGAAACTCCTAAGCGTAAAAAACACCGCCAATAATTTCAAAAAATTCATGTAATGTTTTCTTTTCTCCTTGTTCCTTGTATGTCGCATAAGTGCATTTACCGTCACAAAATCCACTCCAACCGGTTCAGAATGCAGAAAAATCTTATGAGAATAACTTTGAGTTCTAATGGGATTAGCACCACATAAAATGTTTCTTTTCTACCATTGTAAATCTGTCAACATGAATTTTCGCTTCAAAGTTGTTACCAGTAAATTTCAAAGCTAGAAATTTTTTTCTCTCTAGTCTTTTACAATACATAAAACCGTATAACGGCAGGACAGGTGGCATTTAAGGTGCTTACTAATTGAGCAAAATCACGTATTTTATACCACTTTCCTTCTTGAAATTTCTCTAATAAGGAGAAAATTCTGCATCTTGGAATTATCTAATTCCAGACAAAACTTCATTCAGTTAATCACAAATCCCAAAAATTTGCATTTCCGACTAAGTATCAAAAAACTCTTTTCGTAATTTATAATAAATCCTAACTTTTCCAAAAACTTAATTATTTTTATAACATTAGTTCTACATTTTTCTATCGAGTTTTCTACGAATAAATCAAGGTAAATAATACAGGATACCCGCGACTCTCAAATGATTAATAAGAGGTTTCATGATTTTTATAAAAATATATGGATTTATACATAAGCCGAATAGTAAACATTTGAATTAATATAATTTTTTCTCGAAACAAAATCTTAAAAATTTTTTATGCTCTTCCTTTACAGGAACTAATTAATAGATATCTTTCAAATCTAAAGTGCACATGTAATTCTCTTTATTCATTAGATTTTTAACCAATCGAATGTCCTTTATTTTAAAATGTATTGGATCTATAAATTTCTATTTAACTCTTTTAGGATCTATTTAACTCTTTTAGATTAAAAATCTAGTAGAGCCATCTGATTTTGGAACGAGAAAAAAAGGAGAGATAAACTGATCATCACATTCTGCACATTCTTCTATTTTTGATTAATTTTTGACTAATAACTGTGCTAATGCAGATCTAACTTCTGTGCTCTGCTTTGAAGTGATCAAGTGGGCTCACTTAACGATATGTGTTGTGCCTCATAAATGGGATTAAATATCCTCTAATACAATTTAAAATGAAATTATCATTTGTAATTTCTATCCAAGCGTTAATAAAAAATTGAAGCCGACCAGAAACGATGTTTACTTTTACTTCTTTGATGATAAATGGCTCGTTATCCTCGCTAAGAACTTCCGTTGAAGTTGTTTGATTCCCCGGCTTCCGGGCCTGAACTTGATCAGACTCAAGTGGGCCTTTCCTGTTTCCTTGGCTCCTAGGGGTTATTTGAGTTTAATTAGTTTTTTCCTGATGCTTAAGACCAACTACAGCTTTTTCAATAGTCTGTACTTCCTGCATAAGATCTTTGAATTTTTCTGAATAGTTCAGTATTCATCTGAGATTGTTGTTTCTAACATCAGTTTGAGGGACTTGTTTAACAGAGGAGTAATAAACTTCCTTGTGATTGAATGTCGATAAAAAATCTCTGTCAAAAGTTGACCTACATAACTTAAGTAAACAGAAAACTTTCCTAATCTTGGCAAGCAGGATCTTGATTGCTAAATTTTTATTTGAAATAAATTCAATAATTATATCACCAACTACGTGCCACTTAGTTTAATAAACTTTTAACGTAGTAATTCTATAATAATTCGATATCAAATAATTTTTTATATCGATTAAAGTCCCTCCCACGCGAATTATGTTGCGAAAAATATTACCTCAGCCAGGGATCGAACCTGGAT